GTGTGTGTGTGTGTGTGTGTGTGTGTGTGTGTGTGTGTGTGTGTGTGTGTGTGTGTGTGTGTGTGTTCACACATGAGGCTGCAGATGCATAATCAATGTTAAATGTTTAACAAAATAATTAGTTCTTCTAAGGAGACCTTTAGTCAGGAATTTCAGGCCTGTCTAAAATATTGTTTACTTTACAGACAAAGAAATACTAAAAGGACATTTTCCACAGTATTTCCAGCTTTTTTAACATAGCTTGAAATAACTTTGGGGTGTCTCAACATGCTACATGGTACAAAGTGTGGTGTTTTCAAGAAACTGGAAACTGGCAGGTGGACCAGGACTGGATATAGGTCTATGGCTGAGTCAACCTACGGAAATTCAAGATGGCTGCTACAGGCAACATAAAAATGGCTACAACTTGAGGTCATTTCACTGATAGTAAACTAAAATGAGGTGTGGTAGTGGCTGACACTCTTAGGATGTAGCAGCTGTAGTCAGTGTCAAGGTCTTGCGATCCTGAGGCCGGGGGTTTGAGCCCAGGTTGCATCAGAAAGTTCAGCCATAGTTGTAAAACCTCTGGTGTGAGTTTGCTTGGCTGTGGTGACCTCTGCAGAGGAGAGCAGCCACAACAAGAAAAAAAAAACCAACCAGCAGCAGCTGAAACTAATCTTTAACAGAATCTGAACAGGAGTTAGTTATTTCCTGGGTTTGCCTGAAATGGCTGTAATTCTGTCATTTCTCATCATAAAAGGATCTGAGTTTCAAACTGTGGTATAAAAATGTCAGGTGGGATAAATTCTTGTAAATACTGAGCTTTACTACCACAATCTGCCCCAACCTTCACTTGCTTCTGCACTCAGATTGTTTCAGTCTGTTAGTGGCAAAGATAAATATCTTAATGAGACTTAAAAAGAGGATATTTTTCAGCCCTTCTCTTTGTGGCACAGAGTCCTTTTGACACGTTTGTTTTTTAAAGGACGGTGTTTATGCTTCGGTAGTTTGGCTGTTTAAAGTGTTTGCATCAGAAAAGATATTTATTAAATTTATATTTTCATTGTTAATCTGAGGCCAATTATTTCAAGCCTTACTTATTTTCTTATTCTTTTTTTTCTTGTTTACTGTCAGGAAGTTTAAGATTTAGGACACTAAGTCTGACATGTAGCTGTTGAATGATGGGTTGAATCTTGATGACCAAGTGTTTTCCACTTGTAAAGAATCATTTCAATGTAAAATGATGAACTCCTGTTTGACTCTATCCAGATTGATGAGCAGCAACTGTCTTCTTCTTACAAAAAAAAAAAAATAAAAAAATTGAGTCTAATTGTCTGTGTTGCAGGGGTTTTTTTTAGATTAAAGTTTCCCCGTATATGGTTTTGTGTAAAACAAATGATATTTTCAAAAGTTACAATAAACTTTAGTTGACCTTCTGTATTATGACTGCATCATTGTTAACATAATACAGTATCTGGTGTTAATAACTTTATGCAAATTGCTTATTTGCCAGTTCATAATTGCACAACACACTTTTCATTTGCTACAAAAACACTAACAAACAAAAAAAAAGTAATTTATTTCTTGGTAGAACCGGAACAGTAGCTTGGTGAATAACTAAGTTCAAAAACTAAGTCTAATTTATTTACCACTTATTTATACAATTTTCCCTATGTGCCGTGATTGTATTTGTTTGCATTTGATCTCATATACATGTGGTGTTGATTGTTTGAATTATTCATTTCTTCATGAATGACTAATGTGTTTACTGTTAACTCTTCTGTCTGATTGTTAGCTTTAGAAGGTGGAGTGGAGCTGACTGTTGGACTCACATGAAGCTGCTGTGTTAATGAGAAAATTGATTTTCCTAACTGGGCACAAACTGCTCAAAAATGGTGATGGGACTCCATAACAATGATCTGTGTGATGCCTGTGGCATTGAGTTAGAGACCACTTTGCACTACTTAGACCACTGCCTGGCTCTGAGAAGTCAAATAAAGCATATTATTGGTGATCCCTTTATGGATCCTGAGAAGCTCAGAACACTAAGTGCTTCTAACATTGTGTCCTTCATCCGAGGGACGTAAAGGTTTGAATAAAAACTGTCCTTTTGGGGAGAACAATGGACCCACTTACGAGGCCCCGGCTCATATGGGTTCATCTGTCCCCACTTACCCAAAACCACAAACACCCACCTGCCTCATCTTTGAGGTGGTTCAGTCCAACTTGCTGCAGCACAGTGCTGTCAAACACACCAGACTATTTCTGTTCATACAATAGTATTAGGGTCTACAGTTCACAATAATTTTGGCATTTTAGGGAATCAAAAAATATTGGTTTTATTCAGATAAACACCCACATGTGCCCACCAAGCACGCAACCTCCTCCAACCACAGCCCCAACATCCCCACCCAGTTCTTAGATTTTTATTATTCCTGACAACAAATCCTCTATTTAATGACAAACATAATCAGATGCTCATGGTCGGAGGACATGATTTCAGAATGGCCCATCCTGTTTTAACTTCTCAACAACTGAGCCATGCTGTTGTGTGTTGACCCCTTATCGTTGATGTGGGATCCTAGTACAACCCTAAAGGGCCTGCAATAACCAACTGTGTTCTGCTTGATTACAATGTCCCAGTAGGGTTGTCAGTGAAACAGATCTTCCTTGTTTATTCATCATCTGAACCCTGATTTCATAACTTGTGGAACACTTCTTTACCTTTTTAGCTTCAAAGGGATGTAAATACATAAATAAACTTTCTCAAAGGCGGAAGAGGATAAATTTGGTTGTGAAAATTTGTGTATTTATGAAACTGAAGCCTGAATCCTAAAATTGTAAAAATGACACTTGCTATTTTTTACAGCGCAGATTGAAGAGGAGCTTTTTCTCTAAAAGGACCAGTTTTTTCCTTCTTACCTACTGGCTGGTAGCCCTGACTCGTAGGGCCTCCAAATGGGTTCCGGCTGCCAAAGGAGCCTCTGTCTATGGACCCGTACGACATGCTGCCCGATGTTTTGTGGTGTGTCAGCTGCAGAGAGAAAAAATGACAAGACTCAAACAAGAGAAGACAATTTATTTCCACTTTCACACTGCCAGCTTTAAAATGAATGCACTCACAGCACTGACAGTAGGCGAAGAAGGTAAATACGGGCTGTATTGTGTCTTAAGATTTAAACCTTTGGCAGATGGCATCGCTGGAAGATGGCTGGTAATGGAAGTTTAAAGCTCCTGTCTGCTCTCTGCCAATTTTTGATGCTGTTTATTACACAGCAAGCAAAAACTGTTACTGTCTGTAACAAAAACATCATGAAGCACCGGATGTATTTTATTGAAACCTCTATAAAATAACCACTGTCATTTTAACACGTTAAACTTTAAAGCTGATCTGAATCGATAGGCATTCCTTCAAGGAACGCCAGGACTTAAACCTCGTGTTTTTTCTGCTGTAATGTGATTAAAATAATTAAATAAATAACTACAGGAGCTGTTAGTTTGAACTGGGTCAACACATGACTCCATAAACAAATTAGTCAGTGGTTAACTTCCAAACATATTTGCATTCATGCAAGGTCACCGTTATCCGTGCACGTGGATTATTCTGGAACAACAAATAAAACCATAGTGACCCGGGGCTTTAAGGAACAAGTGAATATTTCCCAGTTGTCCACTTTGGGATGTTAACCCAGAAGCCAACCACACTAGAAGAGGTGCAGAGGGCACAGAATGCTAATTTGAATGCTGCAGCAAAGGTCAGAGCATCATGAGAACATGTGTTTGACCCACGGCCAGAGACACACAGATGAAGCTCTCATCAACAAATCTCTGCCGGCTCGCCTCCCTGAGCTCTTCAGAATGTCTACCAAAGGTCAGAATATGATGCTGGTCAAGTGGCCAAAGCTCCTTCCCCAACCGTGAAAAACAAGCATTCAGACAAGCAGGAGAATGTGATTACACCCCCGACTCCCTGTGCTACCCATTGTTGCAGAGAAGCCAGTGAATCCAGCTTAGAGCAGAGCCAGTCCAGGGCTGAAGCCAGCGACTCAGCACATTACAAGAGGCAGATTCAGTGGGCCAGGAGAAGGTTTAATCCGATTAATTTACATTGAGAAAGAAGATTAATTACTTTTGGCAGTCGACAAACAAGCTTCACTCTGCCTGATTTTAAACCCTTCTGATGTCTGGACATGCATGCCCCCCCCCCCCCACACCCCCCGTGGATTTCTGTCCACAAACACTGGAATAAACCTCACATGATCAAGAACATTGGTCTGGTAATGGCAGAAAATATGAACAAAGATGACAACAACGCTACAACAGCAAGCAAACATGAACAATCAACATATCTGTCCTGTGGACGAGGCAAACGCAAATCATGACCTTCTGCAGGGAGGGGAGGGACAGATGTGCACGTAGGTTCAGTTCTCATAGATGGAGCAGCAAAAGCTTTGAAAGCTTTGATCATTTTACTTTTTAGGTTGAATTTACAAAAATCCTTGACTGAGAAAAGAAATGTTTATCTGAAGGAAATCCAGGTGTCTTCAACTAAATTGACTCTTGAATAAAACACAGAGTGACTTCAGTCAACTCCTCTAATCTTAGCATCCTGGATTCGGTTCAGATGATTGATTACTCGGTTACGCAAACCTGTTCCAGATCCAACACAAGAGTCATCGTGGAACTCAACATAAACTAGACTCTCTGACTGTTGGTGAGCAGTTTTAAATCTGGGGTGGGGTGGGGGTCTTATGTATCCAGATGTTTAAAGAGGCTCTAGTGTTTCTCCTGTTGCAGAGGCTTGCAGTTTTGTTGCTTAAATTTTAAGCTTGTTCAGAAAATTTCTCTCAAAATAGTAACCCAACCCATCAGCAGAGCTGCATTGTGACAGAAAACATCTGAAGCTACAGCTTTGAATGTCCTGAGGACAGTTGCACCAAATTAATTAAACCTCTCAGAGCCTGCAAAGAAATGATCTGTCCCTCCGGTCATGATAACTTTATACTTGTGAAATTATTTCAACATTCATTGTCACACAGTCAATTCATTCATTTGTACCCTACCCGCTTTCTCTGCTTATGTTTTGCTTCATCTTTTATACACTGCCTGGCCAAAACAAAAGGTCACACACACTAAAATTTCATTGGACCCCCTTTAGCTCTGATTATGGCACACATTTGCTGTAGCATTGTTTCAATAAGCTTCCCAGACTTGTCCAAGTCCAGCAACCCCAGATCCTAGCACTGCCCCTACAGGCAGTAGGCATGATGGGTGCATCCTCACAGATGATGGGTCCTCACAATCCTTCCAGTTTTTAATAATGTGTTGGGCAGTTTTTAACCCAGTTTTAGTAGTTTCTGTAACCTCCTTAGATGTTTGCTCTGCCTGATACATGCCAATGATTTGACCCTTCTCAAACAGAATGACATATTTTCCATGACCACAGGATGTCTTTTGACATGGTTGTATAAGAAATGAGAAGCAACTCATTGCACCAGTTGGGATTAAATAATTTGTTGCCAGTGGAAATGTAATTGCCCATGCAGTAATTATTCAATAGGAGGCACATTAATGTGTATTTGCTTAGTTAAATCCAGGTGGCGACTTGATTTATTATTATTATTATTATTATTATTATTATTATTATTATTATTATTATTATTATTTGTCTAAGCAGTGTATGATGCATGATTAACTGTTACACTGCTGGGAAGAAGTGAGGTGCATGTCTTATCAGGAAATCTACGATCCATCTGATGGGTCTAGTAAGCAAACTGTGAACGTGCATTAAACCTAAACCATTTACAGCTGGCTTGAATGTGCTGCTTCGTTTAAGCCTGGCTGTGTGTTAGAGCAACTGAATCCAGTTGTTTACAAGTTGAAGGCTTGTTCAAACTCAGTTTACAGCGGATATCCTGGATGGATTTATAAATCTGACTTTTGTGAAATAAGTCCCTGCCTAAATTTGTTTAAAAGGGCACTACGGCAGATTCCGTCATGAACGTGTGTATGGGGTGCCGTTTGTAAAGTTGCACAGTCAAAAATTACCACCAATATTTATGTTCTATTCAGACTTTTATAATAAGAAAAGAACAGATATATTTTTCAAAGTCAGTTTTTCACCATATGATTCATACATTTATAAATGTCACAGTTTATAAACTATATATTTGACTCACAGATTCAATATTTAATAAACAAGCTAAATATTTTAACTTGAGACTTAAATATTTAGTTTTGAGCTAAATGTTTAGCTTGCAACTTAAATATTTAGGTTGCAGCTTAAATATTTAGCTAGTTAGTTAAATATTTAGCTAGCCACCTAAGTATTTAACTTAAATATTTAGCTAGATCCCTAAATATTTAA